TTGGAAAAGACTTTAATGCTGGGAGGGATTGGGGGCAGGAGGAGAAGGGGACAACAGAGGATGAGATGGTTGGATGGCATCACCGACTGGATGGACATGAGTTTGGGTAATTCCGGGAGTTGGTGATGGACAGGGAGCCCTGGCGTGCTGCAGTCCATGGGGTCGCAGAGAGTCGGACACGACTGAGCGAGTCAACTGAGCTGACTGAAAGTGTGGTGGGTTCATGAGAGAAGGAAGCCACACCCTCATTAGGTGATATAGTTGTCCTCATCACTCTTTCAGGAGATGCAATGGGAAAATGAGGTTAGCAGACAATTTTTAGTTGAGAGTTGGTACCTCCGAATGCATCTGGCAGCTACATGGGAAGACATCGTAAGCCACAGAGGCAGAGTGAAACTTTTTCATTCACATTTGACTGTCTAAAATATGCTCTATTTGTCCCCCAAAGTTTTAATGTTTGGAACCTTTTCATTAATTTTCCATATTCTCCATTGGAGCAGGTCTTTTTTTTTTTTTAATCCAATACATACTGCCTTTCAAAGTCCTGATTCTTTTGTACCTCAAAATGCCCCAACAAGGGGGAGCCCTAGCCATATAGCTTTTCCCTGAGGCACCCGTCCGCTCCATGACCCAGCTCCTACGTTAGCCCTGACTTTGGGGCAGTGATTCTCTACTTGTTAAGGCCAGCACTTTCCTCTGCAGGAGTTGCTTCCTAGAGTCTGGGAACTCTTTAAAGGCCTGATAGGATAGGTAAGGCAAATATTTCATCTGTTCTTGGTTTGTGGGTTCCAAGCACGTGGTTTCCAAATGTTACATTTGGAAAGTGGGATTCAGTTAATTTCACAAGCATTTTGATCAAATCATTGATTTGAATCCATTGTCTTCTGTGAATGAACAGCTCATGATGCCTGCCTCTTTTTAAGCTTTCTCTTCCCTCCTCTTATATATTCAGTTGACATATTCTTTCAAAGGCTAAGAGCATTTGGGAATCTGTGTGTTTTGAGAAGAAAGGTGAACTCATTAGCTTCACTTTCTAAATATTTTAATAATGCTACTGAAGCCTGGAATGCCACCTTTATTCAGCTCTCCCTTTTGTTTTTCTGCCACAACTGAGCACTTATAGTGAATGGCAGTACATATTAATAAGCAGGCAGCTTAATAAGACCCAGGTTAATGATGATAATTATTCCTACACGGTGTACGCTGACAGTGTGTGCAAAGATATTCACTCTTCAAAAAAGCCCCAAGGCAGTACAGATAATTCTGACACTGAGTACGTTATCTGAGAAGAAGGTTAACAATGCTGTGTGATACTTAGGTTTTTTTTTTTTTTTCTTAAGTGAACATTTTAATTACCTGGGGATACTGTCCATGACTAGAATTCAGTCAGTGAACAGAGGGCCAGCTAACTTTTTAGGAGATCCCTCAGAGAGAATTAGAATTCTAACCATTAAAATTATAGGCTTACAAATAGGGACACTATCTAGAAATAAATAAGCATAGTCAAGAATTAAGAAAAGGTCAGTGTTTTAACTCAAATTCTCATAGTGGGTTTCTAGTTTGAAGTAAACATGTACTTTTTGATTAACCATGGCAAAAGCATGAAACTATAAAGTCATCCTTCCTATATTCTTTTCCAAGTCGTCCAAATTTTCCACAAAACCAAACACGCCTCTCCTTACTGACCCTGTGGTTTGTTTTCTATTCTCCTATTCTAAGTTACTCCCCAAACCTTCATTTACACCTGAAGAATTAATGACAAGTGACAGATTAACAGTCTACAGTGACACTCCACATTTTTTCCTCCCAGAGTCAGTCAAGAAGCATTAAAACCTTAAACCAGGCATCTCAAATAAAACACCGACTAGGGCTGTCACGTGACATGCATGGGTGAAGCTGGCCTACTGAGAATTTTAGTAAAACTTAAAGGGAGGCTTTGAGAAGCGGGGATATCCCTGCGTGTCTCGAGCATATTATTTCCAAATAAACACGCTGCTCCAGTTTTGCTAAAAATGTACTTTTTTCAAAAGACGCTTGAAATGCAGATTTTTGTGAATTCTTCCATGTTTAAATTTTGTTCACAAATTCAAACACTGTACAGGTCAAACATAACATATCCAGGGCCAAAAAAGGTCCACAGGGCAGAGGTTTGTGACTTCTGCTTTGAACTGGAGGGAACTGCAGTAACTCACACACTTCCATTCCCGACCTCAAGAAACTGCAGGACACATACTCCTCTGATGCACATGGAACCCTTTGTCCTTCTTTATGCTCCCCCATATGCCCTCCACCCCGGGGACCTACTCACTCTGGGTGGCTTTTGGTAAATGTCATCCTCTTTGTACAGCTTCCTAAGCTCCTTCTCCCTTACCAAACCGTATTTCTACTGCTTCCCTTCCTTGGAGAACGAGTCAATTTTCTCACTACGTTGCGAAGGTATCTGGCACATACCATAATTAGCACTTAACATGGTCTGCACATGCTAAATATGTGTGGGTGTGGTGGTCTCCCCAGTCACAATGTGAAGCCCATCTGGAGAGTCTTTTCATTTCTTTATCAGCATCACAGTATCTGCTTTGTAATAAACAATAAATATGGGTGGAATGAATGCATGGATTAATGAATGAATGCTAGAAAGCTACTTTGAAGGCATAAGTATTCTTTAAACATCTCTGCTTCCATCAGGGGGTGAGAAAAATATGGAAGACATTCAGTACATATTTGTTAAATAGGAAATGAATGTCAGCCAATGAGGGAGGTTATTCTTTGAAGAGTTAAGGGGTGGAACATAGGAAATTCTCAGTGCCTGTATCCCTTAAATAATTTTCCACCAGGATAAATAGGTTCTTAAATTGTCTCTGATTCCTAAAATTTAATTTAAAATATAAACTATCATATATTAATACATACATACATATATGTGTATATATGTCTACATGTATGTGTATACATATATATATATATATATGATGGCAATGTATTCATTGCTTTCATGATGATCTTTTAACACATCCCTTAGTCTTCTAACTGGGACAAATATGTAATGGCTTCAATACCACAACTGAGCAGTTACGACTGAGGCAATACCTTATATAAGGTCTAGCGATTATAAAGTAAATTTTTTCAGAAGCAAGTCAGGATGAATTTGAAAAAGCCATCTGGCGATATTCTACCCAAATGACATTTATTATAAATGCACACACGGTTACTTGAAATATATTTGTTTATATCCAAGGTATTTAGTCTGCTCCTTACACAAGTGAAAATCTGCTTGAATCCTTCTGTCCTGAGTTTTCTAGGAAAATGCCCTACTAGAGCTTGATTTTAATTTCAAAATCTAGATTGATTTGGAAATACGTTAACGATTAAGTTAACGATCTAGTATAAAAGTGTCATTCAAGAACTCGGTCCTTCCTGTTGACCAATGAAGATACATAAGGGTAAACAAAAGGATGTTTCTTCTGTAATAGACATCTTCCATACTTACGGTCCACTCTTAGTTTTACAGGGATAGAGCCAGTAGATGACTAACTGCTTGTTCTGTGAGTGACTCCAGCTAGCGGAATAGTCTTGAGGACAAAATCAAGTGATGAAGGCCAGTTGTTTCATCACTTGTACATCTTACCGTTAAGATGTACATCTTAGCTAAGATCAGTTATGTGAGAATCAACCAACGAATTAAAGATCTAGACTCATAGGCAGCTTGTGGCATGCAACTCTCCTTTAAAAGAAGAAAATAAAAGTTGCTTGTTAGCTGGTCATGCATATCTTGATAGCACGCCATAGCATATCACGATACTATTCAAGAGCTTGTGCTATTTTATCTAACATCATACACTTCAACAATGAGCGGTTAAGAATCAGGAACGTTTTTCCCATTGGGATGATGCATACCATGTAACCAAATTCAAATGAGCAGATTTTCAGAGAGAATTTGAATCTCTTCCTGGGGCTAAAATAGACCTGCCACTGGTCTCTCCATTTCCTTTGGTAAGCCCTTTGTATATTAAGCAGTGGAAAATAAAACAACAAATGTTATTCAGCAGAAAGATAAAAGCTCAATATATGTAAAGTGAGACAGAAGAAATGGAAACATAGCATGTGGATTCTGCATGCGAGCCTCATAAAATGCAAGCGTGAATTTCCTCTCACAGTGAGTGTGGTCCAACATTAAACGAGGCATGGGGCATGATTATGAGAGATAAGATTAGTAGTTAGAGAACATAGAGCAAGCTGTTTCACCCACACTGAATATAATTTCACTCCTCTGATCTATTAGGCCATCTTTGTAGATTTTTGCTAGTTCTTAGGAATGCATTAAAAAACCCTACAGGCTATAGCTAAAATGACTGAATATTTTTTAATGTCTCACATGTTGACAGTCCTGATTTTCGTTATATAAGAAATAACTGTCGATAGTGCCATTTAAATCCCTACTCTTCAGACTTGTGAATGCTAATGGCTGGGCTGTCGAACTTCAGCTTTTCCTGTAATCGTTATTCCCGGTTTCCTGGGGTGGGGATGTATTGAACATAAGAAATTAGCTGCAGAGAGAATTAGAGGGTGGAAGTCTGAGTCATGTAAATGCCAAAAGCTTTTTGTGACATTTTTCAGACTTTAAAAATGGAAATATGTTATTTGCACAGTAACTCCTGATGGAATACGACATACTGCAGCGATGTGGTGAGTTTAAGACTGGGCTGCAGGCCACTAGGAGCCCTCTGCGAGAGCCTGGGGCCTGAGCAGAGGGGTGGGAGTGAGCTGCTTGGAAGAAGCTTGGCGTTTGCTGACAAGCCAAAGAAGCCTCGTTAGATCAAGAACCGCTAATGAGAACTGAGAACTTGCTTGAACCTGTTATCCTAAGTAAGGCTTAGGAATATAATTTTCAGCTTGATGTAACTTTTGTCTTTATTCCAGCTGGTCTGACATCATCATCATTATATCAGCACACGCACAAAAAATTATAGGGCTAAGTACAGCCCTTAACGCTCATATTTCAATTAAGGCTGAGCGTTTTCATTCAGTTGAAATAAGAAATCTTTCTTAGTAGATTGTGAAGCGTTTTTGAGAGGCATGGTGCTGGAGTACATAGCAGAACTTTCTCTAGAGAAAACTGGAGGACTCCCATCTGTCTCACTACCCGTCACCTCCTGTTCCAACGGCTTTTAGATGTTGAAGTCTACCAGGGTGGGGGACAGAAACGTCCTCTGGTTTCACCTTTGGTTCGCAGAGTAGATCTCTCTAGACGTTTATTTCCACTTCAGAGGATAGCTTTGCAATCCACTGAGCCCATGTTTCCTGTAAACATGAGAATGTGGGCACACTTACTTATTTTTCTGTTTGGGGGATCAAGTAACCCAATTACTAATTTTGCTATTTTCCTGCAGGGTGTAATGAATTGTCATGAGAAACAAGCTTTCTTAACTTTATCTGTTTTCTGTTCTAGAAAATTCAGTGTTGAGATTTCAGAAGATACAGAATCTAGGAAAATAGCTGTATGATGTTTGGAAAGAGAAGACTCAGATGACTAAAAGGACCCCTGAAAGAATTTTATAAGTGTAGGGTGGAAATAGATGATTAGTGAAAACGACAAAACAAAGCAAAACAGGAAGCAGGGGTTTTGACATTTTTTTCCTTTCAAAAATGTCTTCTGGGAAGCTCCTGTCCAGACCTCCCCATATACCCCCATAAATTTAATGCTGTTTTCCCTTAAACACTCAGTGAGGCTGAAAAATGCCATTAAACTTCCAAAGCAAAAAACCTAGCTGCCATCTTTGGCAATTTCATCTCCCTCCAACTTACCATCAAGACAAGTTAGTTTTATTGTAAAACCCCCTCATTTCTCCTTGCTTTCTTCCCATTCTTGCTTCTTAGTCTGGACCCTTATTTTATCATCACCAGATTGGGCTGTTTTAACTGGTCTCTCATCTTCCTGTCTCAACCCATTTCTCTATCTTAGATAAATATTTCACAGTTTTGTGATTGTGAAAATTGCTGTTTAGTCACTCAGTCATGTCTGACTCTTTGCGACCCCATGGACTGCAGCACGCCTGGCTTCCCTGTCCATCACCATCTCCCAGAGCTTACTCAAACCCATGTCCATTGAGTCAGTGATGCCATCCAACCATCTCATCCTCTGTCGTCCCCTTCTCCTCCTGCCCTCAATCTTTCCCAGCATCAGGGTCTTTTCCAATAAGTTGGCTCTTCACATCAGGTGGACAAAGTACTGGAGCTTCAGCATCAGTCCTTCCAATGAACACCCAGGACTGATCTCCTTTAGGATGGACTGGTTGGATCTCCTTGCAGTCCAAGGGACTCTCAAGAGTCTTCTCCAGCACCACAGTTCAAAAGCATCAGTTCTTTGGTGCTCAGCTTTCTTTATAGTCCAACTCTCACATCCATACATGGCCACTGGAAAAACCATAGCCTTGACTAGACGGACATTTGTTGGCAAAGTAATGTCTCTGCTTTAATAGTCTGTCTAGGTTGGTCATAGCTATTCTTCCAAGGAGTAAGTGTCTTTTAATTTTATGGTTTTAGTCACTGTCCACAGTGATTCTGGAGCCCAAGAAAATATAGTTTCTCACTGTTTCCATTGTATCCCCATCTATCTGCCATGGGGTGATAGGACTGGAAATATTAATACTTTTTTTCCCTTCTGGGGAAAAAAAGAAGAGAACTATTGTTGCTCAGGCACCTTGAAAGAAAATATGAAATGGAAAAGAGTAATTCATTGCTTCCTGGGAGCCATAAAATCCTACGACCATGATTTTTGCTCCCCTGTTCTGTTGAGGAACTATTTTCCTGTTGTCCATGGGAAAAAGTCCATGTCAACAGTCAAACTGTTCACAATTTGGTTCTTTCTTACCTCTCAGGTTTACTTGTCTGCCCGTGTTCACCCACCCACAAGTCAAGCTGACAGTGTTATGGTTTCATGAACTGTCATTTTCATAATTTCACACTTTTTTAATATTCAGTTTTCTGTGCCGCAAATGCCTTTCCCTGACAAATATCTAGTCTTCCTTTGAAGTGAAAGTGAAGACACTCAGTCGTGCCTGACTCTTCGCAACCCTGTGGACTATAAGCCTAGCAGGCTCCTCCGGCCATGGGATTTTCCAGGTGCGAATACTGGAGTGGGTTGCCCTTTCCTTCTCCAGGGGATCTTCCCAACCAAAGGATCGAACCCAGGTCTCCCTCATTGCAGGCCGACTCTTTATGGCCTGAGACACCAGGGAATCCCCAGTCTTCTCTAAGATTTCTCCTAAATGTCATCTCTTCTCTACTTTCTTGACACTCTTAGGCTCAGTAAGGGATTTTCTACCTGTAGGCTCTTGTACTTTGAGATGTATTTCCACTTCTGGATTGACTGTTCAAAGCTCTTTATGACAAAAAGCTCTTTATGGTTTTGTTTCATTCATCTTTTGGAATTCCAGGTTTTAGCACTTTAAGGTAGAAAAATAAACACTACAAAATATGCCTCTTTAGCATGTAGATTATTTTTGGCTGATTATTTTAAAGAAAACAGCATACAGAAGAGCTGTGGGAACAGTAAAATCTTCCTGTTGTAAAAGACATTTAGATTTCTAAGGAAAATCTCCACTTGTACAAGAGTCTGCCTGGATGTCACAGGACGGGAAGGATAACTAAGTCTTTAGAAGCATTATCAGCAGAGAGGCAGTGATTGAAGTCTGCATAACCATATGTATGTTTACTATGCTTTTCCTGGTAGCCTCTCATTACTGACACCCCACTGCCAACTTCTTTTGTCTTTAGCTGAAGATGCTGTTTAAGGTGATGGCTTCAACCATTTTAGAGAGTTATTCAGTTTTCCTGGGTCTTTCCTACATACACAGAGAATATATACATTGTGAAACTTCTGTTTGCCTTCTTCTCCTGTTAATCTGTCTCATATCAATTTGTATTAGATAAATCAAAGAACCTAGATGAGAAGGGATTTTTTTTTCCCCACCTCTACATTCAGAAAACCAAATCAAACCCATGCAAGTAAATGCATGAATTGAAGGCATAACTCAATTCTTTTCTCTTTGCATCAACTTTCAAAAGCAGTGGAAATCAAACACACTGAATATTCTATATCCTGCCAGTATAGAATATGGTACAGGGAGCAGTAAATTCATAGAAGGGGCATCTGCAGTTTTCCTGGACCAGAATCTCTGGTCACTTTGAGGTTTACCCATCAATGTCATTTGAAGAAATGTTCTGCTAACAATGTGCCACCTTATTGAATTCTATCAGAGAATTTCACTGCAGGTCTAACTGCTGCTCACCTTGGTGTCAGGCTGCTTTTCCTTTATTAACTAATCATCTACTTACCCAGTGGGGTTCTTCTAGAGTCCAAGCTTCTCAAGATATGTCAAATCAGATTATCTGCCTTTATTTTACATGGATTAAATTTTATGTTTTTTTCTAAACTTGTGAAGAAACAATTTCCCACCATTTAATATATGCAAGCTATACCAAGGTATGCATTTACATAATCTGAATTGAGTTAGTCATCGGCTTTGTTAATTAGCTTTGGAAAAGTAAGTCAGCATAACCATGTGTATTTGGTGATTTTCTTTTGTTCTACCTTACAACATAGAGTAGAATGGTTTCTAAAAATCAGTTATGGAACAGAGATCACAGACTAGGGTTCATGTACACTAACATGACAATGTCATAATTCAGAATATTTTTGTTTCAGCAGCTCTCAGGAAGGATTTTATGAACTGGGTTGGCCTTGAAATTAACTGTTTTTGTTGATTCCAAATCAATATGCTGAGAATTACTTCTATAAAACCTAGCATTCAAGAAGACTTTCATATTGAAATGTTCTCAAACTTAAAGATGAGGTATTTTGAAATATCACAAAGTACCAAGTGGCATAAAATATGTAAAATGTATCTTCAGATTTTTAACCAGTTTGTAAATTAGAGTTCAGTGGTTTATGATCTTTTGGAGTGTTCTTGAGTCCCTCTAAGTTTATACTCTACGAAGCCTAGTCATCATTTGTTACAGACAATAAGTCTTTTTACCTTCTTGTGTGTGTGGATTGGGGGTATATATTTGTATGCAAGTCCAATAAATGGTTCAGCTCAGTTCAGCTCAGTCACTCAGTTGTGTCCGACTCTCTGCGACCCCATGGACTGCAGCACGCCAGGCCTCCCTGTCCATCACCAACTCCTAGAGTTTACTGAAACTCATGTGCATTGAGTCGGTGATGCCATCCAACCATCTCATCCTCTGTTGTCCCCTTGAAAGCCAACTTTTTCACTCTCCTCTTTCACTTTCATCAAGAGGCTTTTTAGTTCCTCTTCACTTTCTGCCATAAGGGTGGTGTTGTCTGCATATCTAAGGTTATTGATATTTTTCCTGGCAATCTTGATTCCAGCTGAGCTTCATCCAATTTAGCATTTCTCATGATATACTCTGCATTTAAGCTAAACAAGCAGGGTGACAATATACAGCCTTGATGTACTCCTTTCCCAATTTGGAACCAGTCTGTTGTTCCAAGTCCGGTTCTAACTGTTGCTTCTGACCTGCATACAGATTTCAAATAAATGGTTAAGAAAACATTATTTTTCTGTTAAGTATATATAATTAGTAATAGATGAAGAAACCAGAAGTTATATAATTTACTCAAATGAAGTGAGTTGTTGCAAATATAAGTATCAAAATTATGATTTCTCCTCTTCCTTGCCAGATCCACTGCACTTAAAAACAATTAATAGCTTAATTCAAAAGTAATGGATAATTTGAAAATATTTGTTTTTCCTCATAGTTGCTATACTTATTACATTGCTTCTGACAGCTTATATGCTACTATTTTTACTTTAGACAATGTGGACAGTAATTTTCGATAAACTTTAGTGTTATAGATTTATGAGGGCCAACCTAAGTAGACAGTTTACCTGAGTTGTAAGTTCATTTCAATTTTATTGAGATGTTGTTTGCCTTGAATTTATTTTGAATGAACCTGGATTTAAGAATGAAAGATTTGAAAGCTATGTTTTCCTCTTCATTTTACTTAGTTATTTAACAATTTTTAATGTATAACTAATGAAGAAGTATAAGGCCAGGTGTAAAGTTGTTTTTAATCAAATAGAAAAGTTCTCACCATTTTTTTATCTGTTGCAAATTTTTATTATGAATACCCACTGAAATTTGTCAAGTGTTTTTTCTGTATTATTTACTGAGATGATTACATTTTACTTTTTTATTCTGCTAATGTAGTGATTTATGCTGATTTTCAAATGTTGAAACAGTTTTGTTGAGCTCTTAAATAAATGTCACTTAGG